GATATCCACACAGGTATGGCCCTTAACAGTTACATATAAGTGGGTCTATTTCATGATATATTTCACCAACTAGATATAGGACTTATTAATTAGTTATTTCATTCCATTTATAACTGTTAGTTGTGCCATACAATGTGGGGCCTCTAGATACAAGTTCGTTTATAACCTATAACTATAACCCCATCTAACTAGCTCGTTATAACTACTAGGGGCACGGCCTTTAGAAGGCCGTGGGATTTTTGTGATCAACCGGGTGTCATGGATAATGTTTGATGTGCTCGTGCCATTAGGAGTTTGTTTCATGTGCTTTTGAAGGCCGTTAACCCCTTATTCTGGTGCAGTTTTTCAAAAACATGCATTTCGCATAGACGAAACTAGCATTTTGATGGTTTTTGCCGACTCTGAAACTAATTCGACCTGACATGTTTTGAGTCCTTCTTGGTCAGAGCAACGCTTCGTGTTCTTCCAAGAACCTTTGCGGATCTGGATTTTCTAAGCTACAACGCCAGCACCACATGAACATATATTGTGTCACTGAAGGGTGCATCTTAGAATGCCTACGGTCTTTGTGTTTCAAAACCATGTGAGCTGGCAAGAAGTCTTTTAAAGACTTCCAGGACCGGCCCAACGTTTGTGTCCCGGCAATGTTGGAAACACCACGAAACATCTTCGGTCCTTCAGATGTAAAATTCTTTACTTGATGAACTACACTTTGTACAGGGATACCACGGCGTTCTGCTGCTGACTTCCAAGCTCGGTTTCCATCAGGGCAAATGACGCTGGAACCGGTGATCCTGTCGCATAGCATGACGCATGAGTGGAAAGTTCAAGAGAACTGACAGTCGCATAGCATGACGCATGAGTGGAAAGTTCAAGAGAACTGACAGTCGCGTAGCAGGACGCATGAGTGGAAAGTTCAGGAGAACTTACAGTTCGGTAGCAGCGTAGCATGATGCAAGAGTGGAAAGTTCAAGAGAACTTACAGTAGCGTAGCATGACGCATGAGTGGAAAGAACTGACAGTTGCGTAGCATGACGCATGAGTGGAAGGTTCAAGAGACCTTACAGTAGCATAGCAGCGTAGCATGACGCAAGAGTGGAAAGTTCAAGAGAACTTACAGTAGCGTAGCATGACGCATGAGCGGAAAGTTCAAGAGAAGACATGAACGTTAATACATGCCGCACCCCACCCCACCCCAACCCTCCCCACCCCCACCATGAATACATGCACCTGCCGGCAGCAACAGAGTAGCATGTCCTTCATCCGCAGGTTCACATGAACGTTAATACATGCCCCACCCCACCCCACCCCACCCCCCCAATGTCCACAAAACACCACGGCCTTCTAAAGGCCGTGGTCCAACTACTATAAAACCTGAAGTTGTAGAAGTTGTAGTTATGTTCACCAACTTAGCTATCATATATCAGCTATAAATCCCAATAAATGACCATTTTTCATGGTGAAACCACCATTTTCCCTATGGTTTCCCTATGTAGGGTGCAGCCCAGGCGCTCGTCGATCATTTCGAAAGACTCCTGCGCCTCCGCATTGGGCTGCGCCGAGCTGTTGCGTAACGCCTGCCGGCGTCGTTTCACCTCAGGGGACGGTGGGGGAAAACCCACAAAGAGATGTTGGTGAAATTTAGTGGGAGATCAAATGGGATCATAAATATCTAGCTATCTATCTATCTATCTATCTATCTATCTATCTATTTATAATATGATTTAATAAAATATAATATAATACAATATAAAATAATATAATATAATAAAATATGATATAACATAATAAATAATATAATACAATATAATATAATTTAATAATATAATATACTATTAATAAGTTATATTATATATATATATATAAATATTATATATATAAGATATAATCTATATAATAATAAAAAATAAATAAAAACATATTCTAAAATAAAATAAAATACAATAAAATAAAATATAATTTAACAAAATATAATAAAATATAATATGATATAATATGAAATAATAAAATATAATGTAATATAATATAATATAATATAAAATATTATATAATAAAAAATAATTAAATATAATATAATATAATATAATACAATATAGTATAATATAGTAACATATAATAAAATATAATGAAATATAATAATATATAATATAATAATATATATATATATATACACATATCACAAACCATTGAATTAGCAGTATCTTTTACATTTCACAAAACTCATGTGTTTCTATTGCCTGAAATTGGGCCTAGCGGGGCGATCGTGGCATATCCCGTTTATTGAAGCTTCCCCCAACCATTTACCCGTCGTCCATTCGTTTATTGTTCAACCTGTGTGTTTTCTTCTCTGCACTTGGCTTGCGCAATCGAAACAAGCAAAACACATCCCTACATGTCCCTACGAATGGACAAATGAGGCAGCAAACGTGGCAGGGCATCTGGGGTATGTCATCTAGCTCATGGCCACTGTTTACGATGAAATCACATCTCTTTGTTGGTCAAACCATGTTAACCTCCCATGTTTGACAATAAAACCTGAAATGTCCCACCATCTTCATCCAAATTGTCCACTACTATTTTTTAAAGTAGGATTCCCTTTGCTCTCATCACGGTTGCAAGCTCCTCAGCGGAGCAATTGAAGCCTTCGACCCATGAAAACGTGCATCTGGAAGAATGTTGACGAAGATCGGTGTTGGTGAATTCTACTGAATCTCAATGATGACTTCGCAAGTCTAGTCACGAACTCTGGTCGACGAAGAACTCACGATTCTGCCCTTTGATCACGGTGATGAAAAATATCCAAACTGTACTGTGATGTTCAACATAGTCGTTCCGTTTGCCTTGAGTAACTTGAAGGCCTCGCCAGCCAGGTTCAGAAACGCTTCGGTGTTGTTGATGTCATCACATGCCAACTGATACACCTTGATGTAGCGGGTCCCCGTATCCCATATGCTCCATGTATGGAATATTTACCAACATTTGCCCCAAAAATCACGCAAATGTAGGTAAATATACCATACATGGAGCATATGGGTATTGTTGATGCCTGACTCAATGTCGTGCTGGGTCCCATTCTTCGCCCTGGTCTGATACGTCAGACCCGTAATCACAAGAGTGTGATTGTTCCTCATGTCTCCTCCTAACGCACCCACTCAGCTATCCACGCCTCTCAATGTTAAATCGTCCCTTTACCAACATTTTTGCGGTTTAAACGCCCATATTTGATGGTAAGCCGCACATTTTGCATGCTTTTGCCCATCGATCGTCACCAGGCCAAGTTGCGCTAACCTCACCCGCCAAACCCAAATGATAATTCACCTGTAGCGTTCGGGACGTATGGAAAAGTAGCACATGGACATAGAATGGGAATTATAATCAATGGGAAATTCAGGACCCCAAAATAAAGGTACTGTACCTTACATAGGCCTTGCATGTGGTGGGTACCTTCAAATTAGGTACTTGAAATAGCCATGGATAAAACAATGTTATAATGGGGATATGATGATGGGATATAATGTGGATATAAGTGGGATATGTCAGGTTGAAATACCCATCAAACCTGCTTAGAAAATGAAAACAAATAACTACAGTAAAACACAAAAGATGATTTGCAGCTGGTGCATCTGATCTATGAAGGCTAAGTTGATTTATAACTTGCTTAACCAGGGTCTACAGACGAAAAAAAACTATCGTCTTCACATGTTTTTTTTGGCAAACATTCCTGGGAAGGGCCCACCGTGCTAGAGGGTACATCCCAGATTTGGGGACCAAATCTCATATAATCTTCCAAATATTGTCATATATTGTCATTATATATTCCGTATATTCCCTGTCACAATTCTTCATATATTGTGATTATATGCCCAATATATGCCAATGAGTGTGTCATTATATTCCATATATTCCCAATATATGCGAAATATATTGTATTGTAATATATTGCGAAATCCCCATGTTTGATGCTCAAGATCTCTCAGGAGCGCTGGTCAGGGGCACCTCCTGTGCTTGCAGGATCCATTGCTGCCCCCCACGGCTCAGCACCAACACCTGGACGTTCGAGAGAACATGCCATGGAAATTTGGGATGGGAAGAATGTAATGAAAAAAACATAAAAAAAAAACAAAAGAACATATTATTTCGAAAATTTGGGGACACCCACTTACGGGATATTTTTTGTTGGAATATTTTAGCACATGAAAAAGTAATACCCCATGGAAATAGTATTTTGGGGATTGCTAGGAAAAGCCACCATGATGGTTTAAGTAGCATGTGTTTACTAATCCATGGTTTCTTTTGGGATTATTTTCTCGTATGGAATACTTGGGGATCGTTGTGAAGCTGGAGATGGTGATGTTCCTGATATACCACAAATACACGGCGGCCTCTAAACGATAGCTAACTTGACTTATAACGTGCTGAAATATGCTGTCTGGCGGAATGTAACTAAAGTTTATATAATGGGTCTATAAACCAATAACTAGGGAGGCCACAGTGTTTATTAATGTGTTGGATTATTACTGCGATCTATACCTTTGATGAACAAATTGGGGTTTAATCAGCACAATTTGGAATATTTGGAGATATAAACCAGCAAAATAAGGAATTAAGCATTACCCTCTGGTAATTTAAGATAGCTATTGAAAATGGCCATTGATAGTTGATTTACCCATTAAACATTGTGATTTTCCATAGTTTTCTTGTAGAGCAAAATAATGGAGGTTAAACGGACACACTTGCAGATAAACAGAATCAATTCCTGAAAGTTTCAATTCCTGACTGGTTGGTGGTATACCTACCCCTCTGAAAAATATGAAAGTCAGTTGGGATGATTATTCCCAAGATATGGAAATATAAAAAATGTTCCAAACCACCAACCAGCTGAACTTCTGAACTCTATATCACGGTAATCTGACAACCAAAACGTGCGGATTGCAGCCAAATTTCTTTGTTTACAACCATATTTAAGCCAGCTATGTGGATCTGCCATAATTCGTGTGGATTCATGAAGCAATCTCAAGTGGCACAGAACTAACATGGCAGTTGACTTGCAGGAATTGAAAGTTCCCTGAGGTAGCCCAAGATGCTTCTGGCTGAATTGAAGCTCCACTCATCCAGCCAGCGAGAACCGCAGCCAGAGCTGGGCTACGGTTCTTCCCGCACTTGCAGTGCACCAAGGGCTTTCGCCCTGCTCTGATTTGAGCATTGGCCCAATTCATCAAAAAGGCTGATGAAATTGTAGCCCAAGATGCCTGGGTTGGATCGCCCCAAAATTGGATAGTTTAATCCCAAAAAAAAGATAAAGAAAAACACAAATCAGCGAGTTGCGTGGCCTAGCAACTCTTTCCTTTTAAGCCTTTCTGGCTATTCGGTCTGGGGCAGCCGCTTGGGTCCGAGGAGTCCGAAGCTTCATATAGTGCTCTTCTTTTGTCCTGATGGACGTGGAAGCCATCCACGCTGCTATCACACTGCAAAGTGCGGGTGATCTGTTTCTGCCACACTTGCAGTGGATTACCAAAAGTCTTCCCGAGGAGACCTGCCGGTTGGCCCAATGCAGCAAGCTGATCATCCTGAGAATCAAATGAGGTGTAAAGAAAATACCCAGTCTACTCAGTCCCAAATTAAAAACTACCCAATCCAAACAAAACAACCCCCCCACGGCTCTGATTTGATTTGTGGATTAGCGAACCTGCTCCTGAGAAAAACTCTGCCGCAGCAGCCAACAAACATAAAACAACTTCCATGGTTGATATGCCTGAGTCTGAAAATAGGGTACCCCCCCTGAAACTAGACGACGGATGGCCCGAGAGCGTAGAGGAGCAGGGTCTTCTGTTGTTAGTATGGAGACACTATATTACAAGACAATATATTACAAGATGGAGTATAGGCAGACGAGAAAAGTAGTACCAAGACGATATAGCACAAACATAAGACAATAGTTTGCATCGATCTTGCATATAGTTTCTTCACACACAGAGACTTTTACACACGGACGTAGACGCTTCTACACACGGACGCTTTTGTACGCAAACACTTTTACAAACAGATGCTTTTACACACAGAAGGTTTTACACACATACGCTTTTACACGCAGACACTTTTTTACACACGGAAGCTTTTACGCACAGATGCTTTTACACACAGAAGTTTTTACACACGGACGCTTTTACACACAGACGCTCTTTCACACAGATGCTTTTACACACGGAAGCTTTTACACACAGACACCTTTACACACGGAAGCTTTTGCGCACAGACATTTTTACACACATAGGCTTTTACACACGGACGCTTTTACACGCAGACACTTTTACACACAGACGCTTTTGCACGCAAACACTTTTACATACAGATGCTTTTACACATAGAAGCTTTCACGCACAGAGGCTTTTACACGCAGACACTTTTACACGCAGACGCTTTTACACACAGACACTTTTACACAGAGACGCTTTTACACATATAGAAGCTTTTACACACAGAAGCTTTTACACACAGACGCTTTTACCACAGAAGCATTGCTTGATATTGACTAGTATCGCTCTGGATTGCGGACACTTGGCAGCTGTTGAAGTTGATCTGTCAACCATTCAATGGATTGGTTTAAGGGAACAATTACAGGAAAACCCCATATCTAATGGGAAAACCTAGGGTTTCCTTTAGATTTTCCCTTAAACCAATCCATTGAACCATACCAGAACCTTCGTGGGACTTTGACTATCCACGGCCTTATATTCTCAGCTGCTGGATGCATGTTGACTATTGTTGCCGGTCCGATTCTCATGTGTAGTCATAAATAAAAAGATAGATACCATCTTGCATCATTGGTTCCTTCTCTGAAATCAATCTTCAATATCCAAATCATTTTAGGGAAAGTATGAACATTGGGGGTTCAGGGAAACATGAAAGGAGTTCATGAAGTGGGTTAGTCAATCTCCAACATTTTCGCACTTCATGGTTGTATCTATGTTATCGATGAGTGATCATCACCCCATTATATAGTTGATTTTCTGGTTGGTGGCTTCAACCCCTCTGAAAAATATGAAAGTCAGTTGGGCTTATTATTCCCAATATATGGAAACAATTAAATTCATGTTCCAAACCACAAATCAGTTTTGTTTAACAAGAATGAAACCACCAGCCAGTTTTACAGTTTCCGTATGTTCCAGGTCTTGGACTTGATTGAGGGACAATAAAAGTAAACATATCCCTAGCAAACTCGCCGAATGGTGGAGTTACTAATGGGGAAATAAAAAAAAAGTGAGGATCGAAAGTGGTTTATATAGTTTACAACCCCTAGCTGCCCTAGCCTGGGGATATGTCATCATCACAACTGGGGTACTTATCACACACGGAGGTATATCATGGTCATATCTCCTCATCTTCTGGTTGAATTTTCCTTATATCATGATTATAGACCCACAACAAAATGGTTATATTTCCACTTGAAAATTCCAGCCAGTGGTTATAAACTATAAAAATATGCCTAGTCAGGGGTTACAAACTATATAAACCACTTACAATCTTTGTATTTCCCCATGAGTAAAACCACCATTTGGGGAATATAGTTTCACGTTCGACTTCAAGATACACCCAGCCGCCAAACCCCGACATTGACCACCTGCTGCATGCATCCCCAATCTGGCTTAGGGCTCACATGCCTCAGGCAAATGGTCGGAACACGTCGGAATTGAGAGCCGGGTGGCACCAAGAAATACCCATCGAATATGAGGAAGATCAGGGTTTAGGTATCGAAAAATGAGGACTTCTATAGTTGATTCATCTGATATGTTGGACAAGGTGGTTTATAATGGTTTATAAGTATTTATAACTCATATTTCACTTGGGTTTATGCTGGGTATACGGATTCAGCTAATGGGGTTTTAAAACTGACTTATAGCTGGAGAGCAGAGTGCGACATTCCCTGGGGCCACCCCTGCCCCCAGGAGGTGCATGATGATTTGCTCGCTGTGGCTGGTGAAATATGCCCATTCTGTCAATGGGAGATCTCCAGGATCCTAAAATGGAGGTACGTTCGTACCATATTTCTGGCCATATTCTAGGGGGATATCCCCTTACATAGCCCTTATATAAGCCTTATATATGGTGGGTACCTCCATCAATTGGATCCTGAAATTCCCATTGATTCTGGGGTTCACTCTATCTCCACTGAGGCTATAGAAGAAGAGGCTGATCCAAGATATTCAATCTGTCCCATGCCGATTGGAGCTGACTGGGATAAATTGATAAATTGGGCTCAAATTTAGATCCCTACTGTTCCGTTTAGTTGTGAAAGGAGCAACCGGGTCACTCAGCTTTGTACAGTTAGGGCCCAACTAACAGTTATAAATGGAATTGTAACTTCTAGAACTAGTTGGTTATATATCATTATAGGTCTGTCTGAGAAATATGGAAAACACCCATAATCTAATATGTTTCCCATTAACATTGCCGCTACTGCGGGATAAAGCACCTGTTTCTACAAAGCCTATGCACAAGTACCCGCGCGAGAGTCCGGCAACCAGAACTGATCCCCCAGAAGCACCAATTTCAAACGATTGATCATGAAATGTTTCACGGTGTATTTGATCGAATATATGATATGCATATATAAAATATGACACATATATATAATATGACATATTTATAATATGATATATATATATATGCTTGTTGTAAACATAAACATGTGAATAAAAGTTTGATCAATCATAGGAATCCCCAAATCCGCTCATCAAGTATCAAGCATGTCCACCGTCCCCATTGACATCTAGCCGCTAGACGGATGTTTAAGGTAGATATATCGAACTAGTTACGGTGAATCTTGATGGTGGAGCGGTGCTAGTTCTGGGTGCTTCTTGGTTTTGTAAATAATGGGTATTCATGGTGATAACCTGCATCAGTTGGGATTTGACCCCTTTATAGCCTATAATTATATTTAGCTAGGCTATGATTATCAAGCCGCTCATGCTAGAACTGCACCAAGTAGGAATTCCAAAAATAATGGGTATAGCAAAACCATGCAAAACCCCTCGAAGATCTGAGGATGACCATCCCCTTCTTGTGGCAAAATAAAAGGTGTCCCGAAGATGTCTGTCCCCCAATTTATCCAATGATATAGGTATACAATCGGACTATATCCTTCATTAGTATGCCATATTAGAGATATCATCAACTCTTAACAATCAACTTATGATATAATGAATATAGATTGTTTCTGCATCACCAATTTGTGTTGGCTAAAACAGGTCAAACTCTCATTGTTGATTTTGTACATCAACATGTTCAAAAATGTTTGCTGGTGAAAACACCATTATCCCGCCATTTTTGTTGGAAAACAAGCATTTTCCACCGAAAAAAACACTTTGCCCATGAAACATATGTTCTCACCAAGGAGCAACTGAAGACTCGGAACAGGCCAGGTGAAGCCTCGGTTGAAGGACTGCTGGAAGCCACAAAAACATGAAGATATGATACATTGGAGAAGCGAACCAATTATGGGGGTTCCTAAAATGCGGATACCCGAAATCATCCAAGTCTTTAAACATCATTAGACCAATTTAGGATTTAAACCTTTTTTTTTTGGATCCTCCATTTTAGGAAACCCCCCATACAATGGGGAAGGCAAACGTTGCAGGACACTGTGGGTTCGCGAGCCAAATACGGAATCCTAAGGCAAGTTGGGAGCCCCGGCAACCGGATATCTTATAGCATATGATAACCACACAACAAGTAGAACAAGTTCCATTATAACCACACTTTAAAAGACATCATATTATAGAATGCTATTTCCAAGTTCAGAAATCCGTCTCGTTGCCCTTTGGCAATGAGGGTCTCACTGTTGGTGCAACGTTGGCTTTGAGCTCGGGGGTGCTTGCAGGTAAATCATTGGATTGGTTTACGGAAAATAAAAAAGGAAACCCCCACATGTCATGGTAAAAACCCTGGTTTCCTGTAAATTTTCCCAACAAAACCAATCCAATGAGTAAATCATATTTCTTTTGTTATCCTCTATATGCCATGTTGCACATAGTTTATATGGTAAATCATTGTGAATCATCAATTTCTATGGGCCATGGCTTCCATAATCTTCCATAGCTATGTTCGATTACGGGTAAAAGAAGCAAGTAGCACATAGGCACATACCACCTAGTTGTCTCGAGATCTGTTCAAGACAGGTTCCGGTTTGAATGATCCGTGCACGGTTCAACGGAAGTAATTCTAGTGGCAATGACCAAACCCAATCCTAAATGGTAAACTGACTACTTGGTGACAAACTACCCACGGATCGTTTTTGTAGGTTAGTTCACCCTAGTTGTAAATTAGCCCTACAAAGTGGGCCCCCAAGATAGCTAAGTTGGTTTCTAACTACAATTTCACGTTTGGTTTTATGGTTGTTATAACGAACTAGTTAGATCGAGTTATAAACCAACAAACATAACGCTTGAGGGCCCCACATTGTACAAACATCATCCCATTAACAAAGTTCTAGGGAGACATGGAGGCCATCCATGAAGGTCCACCTAGAGGAGATAGTTAGCTAATGTTATCATCACAACTCCCCAGTGA